AAGCACTCCGTCCCCATCTTCAGCAGCAAGCGAAGAGTTAAAATTCCGATGGCACTAGTAACTGTCTGATTGTACATCCGTCTCGCCTTTCCTCTGAGTGTCCAGCATTGGCCAGATCCCCTTGTAACTGATCGCAGTGCCATTCTCCTCAGACCGTACTGATTTATCTGTGACTCGGCACTGTTCACATCATCGGGTTATCGTCTATAATTGTCTTTGTCCCTGTTTATTTTGCAGCACCCCCTTCCCCCCCCCCCCACCACATATTCATCTTTGGCGTATGTCATTTTGAATCATGCCAGTCTTGGTTTCTTTTTAAAATGCCTCCATATTATATGCAGACATTAGTCTGTACTGAATTAAAGATGGGTGGTGGGTGGGTCTTGCTAGTCCCACTTTCCATCGCCATTGGCTGTAAGTTCCATGCCTCCTCATAGTTCAATAGCACTGTCGTATGGAAAGACGGTAAGATGCCAGTCAGTCACTTTAGTTTAGACAAAGTTCCTTCTTTCCCGTACAATGTACGCCCTAAAGTTGTCCATCTATTGTTGATTTGAATTTGCAGTTTATAGAGAATTATTTAAAAGCATTCATATACATACGTATTATAGATTAGTGTAAAAATAACGCCAAGGTGTCTCTCCGTTTACATTTACCAACATAACGTAGACGAGAGTTTTAAACTACAAATAATCAATGGCAATTTATGAGGATAATTTTATTGTGCTTCCAAAATCAATCACTGCTAAAGAAGTCCATTGTCATAAATCGCCCACACAGGACAAAGATTTTTATTACGCTGTAAAACGCAAAGCTATAATTTTCCACTGATCGCATCAGATGAATTCACATTAAACTGTAACAAAATATTTTAGGACTATCTCTATATCTAACCTCTACAAAAGCTGGCAGTTGTAGTAGGTGGGCTGAATGGTCTCGAGGCATGTTGTCTGCCTAGAGTGCTGGAGGTCCCAGGTTCAAGCACCATTGAAGGCTACTAAATTTTTCACCTTGACTTCTAGAAATTTCCCCTGGTCTTTTGGGTAGTAAAATCGGGCACCCATGTGTATTGTTGCACACGTTAAAAATATCCATTGGCAGTTAGAAATAAAAAAGAGTAGCCTAACTGTCGTGGAACCGGTTCCTTTTACACTCACTAAAGTGGTGTTATCTTGTTAGAAACCGAGACAACTGTCTTTTGGTGCAAAGAGCAGACAGTGTCCCTGGATACTCAGATACAGACTCGAATTGGCTCGCGAAAGAAGGTGAGCTGCCTGAATATCCCCAGAAAAGGGATAAGGGAATTTAGATGCCTAAACACTTAGACAGAGCAGATTACCCCTCCCGACAATTTCCCTTTCTGGTAATAAAATTAAGCCCCCATCTAGACTATGTATATTGGTAGACAGCACTGACACCATACATACATCTAGAAATAGAAATAAACTTTAACTATGAGTTTAAATCAATCATAGGAATGTTTATTAAAATTAAAGTAAAATTCAATCATCTATTTACTTTTGAAAATACATTATTCAAACTAAGTAGGATGAAAGATAAAAATGATAGTAACATGAAACTGTCGTCGTGAGAGGATCAGTGGGAAATAACATACAACAATTACCACCTGGAGTTTCCCAGAGGATCATCCATTTCAAAGACTGAGGTGGAATGTCGAATCTGTCTCAAGCACCAAGATCTTCCTTAGGGCACTTTAATCATCAGCTACGACCAGCCTGGCAGTGGTTTGGAAGCTCGTCCTGCCACAAGGAACAAGGAATCTGTCCTCGGCTTTTCAGCAGCTGGATTTAGATGTAACTATATGGTCATGCTGCTAGGGTTTTTAGGCGGCGAGAAAGACAAAGTTCTGCCAAAACGGCCCGCTCTAACACCTGCTTGCTGACCTGAAGTAAAATGGCTGGCAATCTTGTCTCACTGCGGGATTTCCGGTGTTGGCCAGGGTTTTCCCCGCTACGTTGCCGAGTTACTAGCCGTATATTTTTATACGTGAAAGCTCAGGGGAATTACAAGTAGGACAATGGAAAATCCCCAAACAGCAACCGTAGGCTATAACCGGGATATCTCTCAATGCATCTTATGACGAAAATGAAGTCACTGGGCGCATGTAAGAGAGAAAAATAGAAGGGTCACAAAGGGGTGGTACGTCAGCCAAAAGTATCTTGTCTACTTGAAGCGGCGTCTCGCGACACTAACGTCGCTGCCAGTGGACATTTTGGAGTTAAAAATCTACCTAAAGCATTTAAGAGTCCTCGCCGGTGCAACGAAGTTCGTGCACTGCGCAGATAATCAGGCTTGAGTTATAAGTAGATCGGAGCACTTATGGGTTACACCTGTGTGCCATTATGTTGATCCATCAAACAAACAAACAAACAAACAAACAAAGCTGCAGCTACGGAATTCGTTCAACTGTCGCTGTCATGGCAGTGTATAGATTAGTGAGTAAGTTCAACAAGACATTGGTTTGGCCATGTAACGCGGATGTCAGGAGACAGTATACCACAGCAAGCAATGAGGTACAGATCAGGCTGAAAGCGAAGAAAAGGCCGACCATGCAAGCGAAGGACAGAGCAAATTACACAGCCCCTCCATTAAAGAAGCATTCAAACAGGCGCTTTTCCGTAAATTATACTTCACCTCTACAATTTAAGGGATAAGAAGATCAAGATGAAATGAGATATTACAATGCTATCCTCTCTGCACTAGCCTGGCATCTCACAGTCCTTCACTTTACAACTATGTGGAAACTAGGTTGGCTTATGCTTTGGTGGCAAATTTCGTTCATGTATCAGCCTCTAGCTAAAAAAGGCATGGTTGGGTTTATCTTACAATGTTGCCTTATGATTGTTAACACACAAAAAAGACAAAATAATATGTTTACCCCTGATTCTGGGATAATGGATTTGATTTTTAGTCGTCTCAGATAAGGATGAAAACACCATAGGGCAAACGTGCATGCTTTCCCCTGTAAACAGTCAGAAAGATCTAGAAGAAAAGACCTGTGCCCATGCTAAAATTTCAGATTGTCAAAGCTAACCAGAATGTTCACATACGTTTGATTCTAGAATAATAAGTGTAGGAGAGGCCGTGGGGTAGCGGCTAGACGATCGCCTGTGGATAGAAAGGTCGAGGATTCACCATCTGACAGAACCAGGGATTTTTCCCTGTCAAAAATGACCATGGCTCCCAGGTCGACCCTGCCTTGAGTGGGTTCCACGTATAGTCCTGAGAAGTAAAGGCGGTCGGCGTGATGTTGACCGACTGGTCTGTAAAAATATAGGTGTAGCCCTATATGTCCAAAGCACTTAAAGTGTGGCCAGTGAAAGGGCTAACAATAAAAGTGGGAGCCATACGACAGTGGATAATAAAAGTGTAGACCATGAAAGGGCAAACAATAAAAGTGTGTACTGTGGAAGAGCAAACAATAAAAGTGTGTACTGTGAAAGGGCAAACAATAAAAGTGTGTACTGCGAAAGGGCAAACAATAAAAGTGTGTACTGTGAAAGGGCAAACAATAAAAGTGTGTACTGTGAAAGGGCAAACAATAAAAGTGTGTACTGTGAAAGGGCAAACAATAAAAGTGTGTACTGTGAAAGGGCAAACAATAAAAGTGTGTACTGTGAAAGGGCAAACAATAAAAGTGTGCACTGTGAAAGGGCAAACAATAAAAGTGACAGCCATACAACGGTGGATTATAATAGTGTGGACCGTTAAAGTGTAAACAATAGAAGTGTGAAACATAAAACTGTGAATAATAAAAGTTTAGCCCATGAAAGTGTAAACAATAAAAGAGCCAAAACATAAAACGGTAAATAATACAAGTTTGGACCGTGAAAGTGTGAACAATAAAGTGCTAAACATACAACGGTGAATAATAAAAGTGTGGACCAAAAAAGAATAAACAATAAAAGTGCGAAACATACAACGGTGAATACTTAAAGTGTGGATCGTAAAAGTGTGAAACATACAACGGTGAATAATAAAAGTGTGGATCGTGAAAGTGTGAAACATAAAACGGTGAATAATAAAAGTGTGGATCGTGAAAGTGTGAAACATAAAACGGTGAATAATAAAAGTGAGGATCGTGAAAGTGTGAAACATAAAACGGTGAATAATAAAAGCGTGGATCGTGAAAGTGTGAAACATACAACGGTGAATAATAAAAGTGTGGATCATGAAAGTGTGAAACATAAAACGGTGAATAATAAAAGTGTGGATCGTGAAAGTGTGAAACATAAAACGGTGAATAATAAAAGTGTGGACCGAGAAAGGGTAAACAATAAAAGTGTGGACCGAGAAAGGGTAAACAATAAAAGTGTGGACCGAGACAGGGTAAACAATAAAAGTGTGGACCGAGAAAGGGTAAACAATAAAAGTGTGTACCGAGAAAGGGTAAACAATAAAAGTGTGGACCATACAAGATAAATATGGTCTAGCTATTTTACTCATTTGAAATTTCTGACTAGCAGAAACAGCAAAGTGTGATACAATATTTCAAATGATTTAGCAATTTCAAATGTCCAACAACGAAAGAGGAAGGAGAGGCAGTGGTCGACAAACACGAAAATGGGCACAGGATATAAGTGACTCCTTGAATTTGATAGTTCAATAGACGAGAGAGTTGGCGAGACAGAGAGTTTCTTTACGGCAGACTGTGATGAAATAGCGACGTTCTGCAAAGGACCTGCTAAATGATGATGAACGAAGAAACTAGATAATAATAATAATAAAAATAATAATAATAATAATAATAATAATAATAATAATAATAATAATAAAAATAATCAAGCGAATAATTATCACAATAATAATTGCAGTATTATTTTCTTGTATTTGCAGGTACTTGTCTTGAAAAGTGCACCAGGTGGAAGTGGCTAGATATTATCGACTACACAAAACAAGACAAAAAAGATATTGTTTCTGTGTCACGGGGCGCTGGCTTTTGCTTCAGCGCCCTCCTGACTACAGCTCACGAAAACTAAATGGAGAGCAGGACAGACTTAGTGAATTACTACTACAACATCAGCAACTCAAACGTCAGCATCGAAACAGAGGAAGTGGATGACAAATGGAGCATCGAATTCTCTGTCATTCTGGCTACTATCTTGTCCATTTCCGCTTTCTTTACGATTGTGGGCAACAGCATGGTTTTAATGGTTATCATCCGACACCGAGGAATGAGAACTCGGACCAATCTGTTTCTAGTGAATTTAGCAGTGGCTGATCTTTTGGTGGGTCTTTTTGTGGTGCCGTTTACAATCACCACGCTGATAGAGACCCGGTGGATATTTGGGACAATCATGTGTGTAATCAACGGGTGGATGAACAGCTTCTGCTTGATAACATCGTTCCATACTTTAATGTATATTAGCATTCATAAGTACTTTTCCATCGTGCGGCCTCTGAGTAACCCTCTCAAACTGACTTATATCATTGCAATGATGGTAGCCGCCTGGCTGTGGGCTGCGGTTTGTTCTACGTTGAACATCACAGTTCTGGTTATTGTACACAAGCCAGGGACGTCGCAATGTGGACCGCGATACCCAAGTAACATTAGGATGTTCATAACACACGGGATCCTGCAGCTGACGGTTATTCTTCTGCCAGCAACGTAAGTAGTTCGCTCTTTGATGTGTTATGCTAAAGCGATGTTTCTCAACCTTGTTGTTACATGTCCCACCTAAGCCTTTATACAATTCGAATCCCCACTCTAATTTAAGAGAGAGAGAGAGAGAGAGAGAGAGAGAGAGAGAGAGAGAGAGAGAGAGAGAGAGAAAGAGAGAGAGAGAAAGGGAGAGAGAGAAAGAGAGAGAAAGAAAGAGAGAGAGAGAAAGGGAGAGAGAGAGAGAGAGAGAGAGAGAGAGAGAGAGAGAGAGAGAGAGAGACGATAGCCTTTTTTTCATAGCATGTAGGGGTGTCAACACAGGAACTGATTCAGGCTGTCGCAGATAGTACATTGTGAAGAAGCATGATCGCGCAAGCCGGTCGGCAAGACACTTGATAGGATGAATAAAACTAGCGTGCAAATGGATAAAAACGAAGCATTAGAACACAATTAGTTAATATAAACATCTGTGTGTAAAAAAGAAGATCATAGGTCCTTACGATCTTTATACTATTCACAGAATAGTTGATGAGGTGCATGGTACTGAAAACGGTAATGCAAGACGAGCTTAAGTAAACAGTTTAAGATTGAAAAATTAAAAGCCTTTAAACTTCAGCTGTCAGTAACAAAACATAATGGACGTACCCGCTTTCTCATCTACAGGATAGTAATATTTTGTTATGTGAGGATGTTCATGGAGATCAGGAAGCACTCTCAGCGACTCCGCACCAACTCCACAGTGGAGGAAGACTTCATCCTGTCCCAGCAGAAAAAGGTGGCGCTCACGCTGTTTATCGTCCTGGCAACATTCGTGATGATGGGAATGCCCTACTTCGCCTACGCCACATACACTACCATTAAGAAGGACAAGAAGCACTTCTCCACATACATCAATCCTTTGGTAAGGCATTACTTGTTTGGTGTCAATGTCATCGTTACTATCATCAGCCGCTTAGATCAATGGTCATCAAACTGTTTCGCAATTGTAACTGACTCACAGAGCATGCTGAGAAAGGTGGAGACGGGTATGTTTCGTGCAGAATGGCAAGCATCGCTTCAGAAGTTCCGGGTAGTTAGCCTCCTTTGGATAGTTCCTCCGTGTCACAACTGTGTGTTGAGAAACAATTAGATCATTACGGTGTGAGAAAAATGGCTTGCTGCTGAAGATTGTAACAGAGAGCGTATAGGAGTGTCTCGATTGCTGTGATGTCGATTTTTATTTCAACATTCGACTTTTTCAGATTCACCCCCCCCCCCCCTTGCGTATTGGAGTAGACACCACTCCACACACACATACACACAACCAACCCACATCCAACATAACAAAATATTATTTAAAAAAAGAATAACAAAAGAAAATCATAAGTACTGTAAACAAGGACTTGAAGAAAAACCCGCACATAAAATCAACATGTTAAATGACAAAAGAAACCACGACAACAACTGAAAATTTAGAGGCTGAGTATCAATGAAGTAGTCAACACTGTTTAATCTTAGTGGTATGTGATATTTTTGTTCCGATGCTGGACAAGGCACTCCGGGGATCAATCTCCACATCAAGCCAGCAGCGCTGTTTTGTTTTCATAAATGGCTAGATCCACGATATTTTCCCCACAGTACACACTAGCTCGCTCTGATTGGTCGGCCTCCAGTCACCTGACCTTCGTACACTACTAGAGGGGTGTTCGGCAATCCGTTCATATAGCGTGTTGAATATTTAAGCACGCCACCGCTTTTAACACTAAAAAAAAAAAAAACATTTACAAACTGGGTTTAATCTACATTCCACCAAGAGAGTGCTGCATCCTATGTCACAGGCTTTCCCTATTTTGGCAGAAAAACGTAAATGCAAGACAACCAAACACCCCCCCCCCTCCTTCCCAACCCCTCTTCGGACAGCACACAAGTCTAAAAAAAAATCTATCAATGGACCGTGACGTATTTTGGCTGGGGAGATTATCGTGGATCTCACCCACAACTGCTAAAGCTGAAAACCCTGAATATTACCAGTTAAAATTAACTAAATTTCAAAACTGCTATTACCCTCTCCCTAAACCACCCGCCTCTCTAAAAAAAATAACTCACGTCATCTCCTCACGCCCAGCTGGAGACCACTGGCCTAGACAGTTTTCGAGGTTCAATCTCTAGTAGTGACCGGATGCTTTCTGATGACTTTGGTTCTGATGCCAACTCAACCTCACAGTGACCTGTCATAACCAATTTGTATAAACGCTCTTTTTAAAGTATTTGAATATTTATATCCCCTTTGTGTCTCTGCTGACACATAGGACATTCACAAGTGATCTCCATTGCTGCCATTTTGCCGCTTCGCTTGCCCATGGTATCCCCTTGTCATTTGACCTTACGTTCTACTGTCCTTCTCCAGGTTTCTCGAGGTTTCCATAGGTCGTTCGCGCTCCCCTCTTCCATCTGCCGTCCATCAAAGAGCTGTCCTTTTGAAAGTGCTACATTATCATTATTAAGTACTTAAAGAGAGTTTAAGCACACTGGCTTACACATTACTTTTTTTTTGGGTTACATTTTCTGCAAAAGGTCGTCTCTTGATGAGTAATGAGGTCAATATCACGCGACCCCCTTTACTGTAAGTAAAATTTCCTGGTGCCGATTTCAGGCTAGGTAGATTTTGGAATCATAGTCGTTTATAAAACATCCATGAAAAACCCAGGACCTTCAAGCCAGCTGGTAAAAGTCTAAGAAAATTTAAAGGGGAAAAAACTGCAATTTACGCTGACAACTGTTTAGATTTTTTTCCCCTCTTTCTGGCTCTAGTGTTTTAAATTTTTTATAGTAACATTTCCGAATAAGTGTGTGTTGTTTTTCCTATACATGCTTCCCAAATGTTTACTCTTGCGAAAATCAAAGGGAAACCGTCACATTACTTGAACAAGAAAGATTTATGGCAGCGAACAAAGTGACATTTTTTGCAGTGCTAATAATAATATATGCAACTCTTCTAACATGGGGTTCTCTGTAAATGGGTTGTGAAGACAATGGCTGACAGTTGTATTGTTTTTTTTTTTCATTTTGCTGGTTTGGTTTCCAAATAAATTTGACTACCTCCATCTATATCAGGAGCTACCGAAGTGCAGTGGCTAGACACTTGCAGTGACCAGGTCTTCAGTTTGAATTTGCTGTAAACAGCTGTACGCACATGTATCTGACTCACAGGGCATGCTGAGAAAGATGCAGACAGGCATGCTACATATAGAATGGCAAGCATCAATTCAGAGCTCCCGAGTAGTTAGCGTCCTTTGGATATTTTCTCCAGGTTATACATGTGTGTTGGGAAGCGAGCAGGCAGCCAGAGCGGCCTGTTCTGCACCATTTGGTGGTGAACTGATGAATGACAAGCTAAACGTTGTGAGGGCCCTTAGGGAGCGAGTGATCAGTGTCAAGACAAAAATTGATCATTTCGGTCTGAGGAGAATGGTGCAGCAAGGAGTTCTGGCTCACGCTCAACACTCAAGGGAAAGGCGAGACACAGGTAAAAATCAGACAGTTACTGGTGGAAATTGGAAACATTCGTTTGCTGCCGAAAATGAGAACGGAGGGCGTAGTGGAGTGTCCCGAGTGCTGTCATACGGATTTTAATTTAACACTCAACATTTAAGTTCGAATCCACATTAGGTGGACGTTTCAAATAATTTGCTATGTTCCACTCCCCCGCCGACTCAGCCTAAAAGGAAATAGTTGGAGAAAAAAAAAGCGGCCAGTCTGATGTTAATCACAGCACTGACCATCGATTTAGTTACTTAGTTAATTGACAGATTATCCTCACTGAACAATGCGCCAGTCCATTAGCACTCGAATCCCGTCTTTAGTATATCCCTCAGCGTGTGGCCACTGAACACACGTTCTGTGTAGCTTTACTAGTATTCTTTGGCTACCTGTATAGTGTTCATGTTTGGTGACAAATCGTTTGAGCCGAAGTTCTCGCATTCTTTTGAGCGATGCCGATTCAACCACGTCTCCTGAATCATCTTCTCGTCCTGCCTCTTAAGAGCACTGAGAATGTCAGGCCGGTCCATTGCTTTTCCTGTACCTACCGTGGCCCTGCCAGCAAGCCAGTCCGGTCACTCATTCCTTATTACACAAGAATGTCCTGACTCCATCAAGTGCTGACTGCTCTTAAACCACAGTCCAGCACGGTATGCCTCATGTGATAATAGAGTGTAAAGAATCTGTTACTGACTACTTTGTGTTCTGCCGATGTTTACTATTCTCGTTTGTTTACCCTTGAACTGTAGCTAACCATTCTAGTTGTGTTTTCCTCAAAAGAAAGAGAGGCGGATATACAAGCAGTTACAGGTGCCATGGGAATTGGAACTTTTCTCTTGCTGCTAAAGGTGGGGACGGAGCGCTTTTTGAGGTATCCCGAGTGTCGTGTTTTCGATTCTTTATTCAACATTCCAAATTTAACTTTTAATCTTAATGTTAAGCTCAACGAATTTCTCATAGAGTGTCTTTAGGAATGCGTCTCTTGGGCATGCTCAACAATCTACGGTTCACATCGGTATTTAGTAGATTTGTTTGTTTCTTTCAAAATTGACCTTGGCACTCAGAGTGATCCAGCCTTTCATCGATGCCAGGTAATGTTCTGATGTTCTGGAAAGTTCAAGTGGTCTGTGAGCTGCGGATCTCAACACATTTCTAGTGCCGATTGGTATATACAAATATATGTTTAGCCCTAGTTTCCGGATGCGACAAAGGCCCGGAAATGTTCTTTTACTGCCACCCCCTCCCCCTCCCTCCCCCTCCTTTCTTTTACCCCCAACTGAATTAACTCCAATGGGAAATATGTATCCTCTCCATTGTGTCAGCTTTGACGTAGGAGCCCTACACTTACGTAAACTTTGACCATCAGATCAACGAGACACTAAACAAACTGGCTAACGTGGTTTATTCGAAGTCACTTCATTTTTAATAACCGACCCCCCCCCCCTCCCCCACCCACCTCCCCCCAAAAAATCGTAAACCCTAAACTTAACACTTACCCCAACCCCTAAGCTTAAACCTAACCTCAACCCATAACGCCCTTAGAATACTGAACTTTCTAGTGAACTTCTGGATCTTTCTGATTAAGTGAGTAGAAAACAGAATATTAGAGTCTCAATTAGTCCGCATTTTAAACAATGTGTAATTGGAAACATTTCATGTTTAAACCTTCGCTAGGTTTCGCTAACAACAGGCGCTTCTGATAGAGCTAAAGATAGGATGCCTTGAAGGCACATTGCTGGCAGTAATCTCTGAGCACAATCTTGGACACGAGCATAAAACCTTCTTTTAACACAGTAAAATCACAGTATACATTTCATGTAGCCCAACTGGAATATAAAGAAGGCTTAACATATATTTTTATAGACCACTCAGCACTCAGTGTTTGATGTAGTCAACATCACGGTTAACATCTTTACTTCCCATGAAATTTCATGATACTCATTTCAGAATTGGTCGACCTGGGAGTGAATTTTTTATTTTTTATTTTTTTTAACAAATCCACCCTGTGAGATAAAGACGTAGAAAGGGTGCTTTACTTTTTTTTTTTTTTTTTAACTTTACCCAGTAGGAATTTGAACCTAAGTCCATAAAGGAAACTAAAAGATGACACTGGAAAACGTTCCAGTCCTGGAGACCCAATCTGACTCCTCACTCAAAAGAAACAGACCATGCTATTCAATCAGGGTACTGGACACAACAGACTGCAGCAATATGTACAAGATATTCAAGATGGAGGATTTCAGAACGATGTCTATGTGGACAGGTGCCACGTAATATAGAGCATAGTATACGCATTTGTTCTCCATATACACTAGATGCACCGAGTAACGCACCAACGTATGGGGGGAAGAAGCATGGGCAGAGCAGATAATCGTCAAGTCT